AGGATATCCATCGGCAACGGTTACCCAGGCGAAGTAATACAAAGAAACATACGGGCCGTGAAAAGCCGATGGCAGAACGGGGACTACGAAAGAAAAGTAAGGACGAAGAACGATTCGCAAAAGTGGATATGCCTACCTTCCTGCGAACAAACTCAAAAACTACGGCCATAACTAAGGAAATGGAATATTCCGGTGGCCATGAAAGAAAAAACAACACTTTTCACAAAACTAGTAAAAACAAACACCCGGATCGAGGATATATTGCTAATCGGAGGAAAATGGATCGTGATGAGAAAAAGAGGGGGTGTGAAGATTTTCGGAAATCAAACAAAAACGTTGTCAGTTCGAATAAACCAGTACAACTTTGGGGGCCTGGCAGTCAGGGAGCTAGGCGGACGGATAAGCAAGCATTCACAGAAATTCGACGTTATGGCCAAAATATACTAGAAATTCAATTGTGATGCCGCATGCGACCAAATATAGGCGTCCACAGTTTGCTTAGGTAACACGGGTTTAATCAAGGATATGAGCCGTGAAGGCATTTACTGATATCTGCAAGCATGGGAATCAGAGCATAGGCGCTCTGCTCGGCGAGGCGGCAGTGTAAGCGCTTCTATGGCCTTGAGAAATAGCAACTGGGGTAAAACGCAGACTGGGAATGGAACCAAGAGAAATCGGTAAAGTAGAAAGATTAGAAACGGATCTACGGGACCATAAGAGAGATCCGGATAGGCGGCTTGAGTAGGATTAGCCGATAGAAAGAGAGGGAGTCGAGGTGTGATGAGGCCACACTAAATATGCAAAAAAAGGACACACATTTTGACGAGTGGAATGTAAACAAGTCAGAAGCTGTGATAGGGCCGGGATTTTGATAAGAGGGTAAAGAGTAAATAGATGGGCCAGGACAAAAGGAGGAGTGAGTGTAACCGTTTTCGGCAGAACGTTGGTCGAGGGATTGACTTCACTTCCATTTCAAGATCAGTTGCACTTAGCATATTCTTAGGCCATTCTCCGGAATTATTTATTGTTGGTAGTGTGTCCTATAAATACCCATAATTTACACGAGCGCAGACTCATTATTGTAAAAGTTTATAACGATTATAGACAAAGTTGGTCATTCAAAGGTAAATATTTCCGATTAAGCCTATATGCTGTAGCTTATGAATAAAAGCATGTACTAAGGCATCTTATAATCGTCAATCTCTGTTTATGCTTATCAAGCAGCGATGCAGATTTAAGCGTGGTGTGAAAGTGGCTACCTTTGCGGCCAATCGAACAAATTGTTTGTCACTCTCATCAGCCATGCTGAGCTTCTCCTCACGCACAAGTTCTGCAATCTCCCAGTTCGTGGAAGCACGGTGATGTCGGCTGTTTAGGTAAACAAAAATTGGGCCAAAAAAAAAAAAATTTATGCGAACCTGCTATCGTATTCCCAAATTTCATATTTTGCTTCGCATTGGAATAAAAATGAGATATCTTAGGACTTAGACTATCGGCTAAGTCAAGTTCCAGGGTTTCGGAAGAGCGATTCATCAAATCTCTTCAATGAAATAATTTTTTATAAATAGCTAGGGTTGGTGTTGATTAAAAATCCTATATAACTTCAACAAACAGTAGACAACGACAGGCAAATGCCTGTTGCAGTTTACGATTCAAAAACATTTTTTCCTCGATTATGGACATTTTTAGGACATGGCTAAAGACAAGCACAGAATAAATAGCAAATGTTTAATAAAATAGCTCAAAAAATCTTGAGTAGTTGGTTTGTCATTGTCAAGGATATTTAAGAAAAAAAACAAATAGATCTCAATTTAAGCATCGATGTTCTGCATGAGAAAATGCTATACATATTTGTATATGAAGTAGTCTAATGGTAGTATCAAAAACCTAATTATGAACATACATACATATCTGCTGTAAGCATCTGAAGCCAGCAGAATAGTGATTAGGCCTTTAAAATTTCGGATCAAGAAATCTTCAGATCTCAATAAGTAGCCTGATTAGTTCTCGTAATAGAATATCAATTAAAGGCAAGTTGAATCAAGAACTGGCTGACAATGTATCATTTAATATAAAAGCCTTAGTCACTCTATCTCGTCTAGGTGATGAAGGCCTGGTAATTGAATTGTCCCACAATGAAATTAGTAAGCCTCACGTCTCCAACGAATTTTGCTTAGCTTTTCTTCCCAAAAGGTATTCTCATCTAGGCTGAACAGCCGTTTCGACCTCGCCTAGGTTATATCAGAATTCCCAGCAGGACTAGAGCCAGGACTGCCTCAATAGAATAAACCATGATTAATTAAGATTTTTAGGGCTAGCTGGGCGCAGATCGGTGTCCTGCCCAAGAGGGAGACATAAATCGCTCTATTGTAATTCATTAAATAAATGCCAATTGCAAACAAAAAAGAACATTAAAGTAAATATTAAATAATTAGTGAAAGCTGTTATTTCCATATTGAAATAATGAAAGCCTAAGACGAACATGATTTCTAAATTAGTTTGTGATTATACCTGAAAAATGCCAACAAGATTTAGAGAATGACGTTAAATTAAGATAAGAGCATATTATTAGTTCTAAAATAAATTCTTAAAAACGTAACTAAATTCCGGTAACCTAGTTCAATCCAAATGTAAATTCATAATGACTAATGAAGAGTGCGAAGTAGGTCGCTTAATAGATTAGTCATATCAATAATATAAAATATGCAAACGAAATGAAAGTCTCCACAATAATTTAATCTCAAGAGATCCATTGAACCCCAATTATTCTCTATAAACTCATGTATGTGTGTGTACGTGTTTATGTATACATCAATTTAAATTCCCTTAACATACTTTTTTGAGCCTCCCTCAGACGCCTTGCCCCCAAGATAAACAGGAATTTCGGCACCATGCCGATTGAGACGAGTCAACTGGACTACACTAGTGTCCTTGCTAGTAGCATTGACATTACTAGAGTCGGCGTTAAACATTTGACCTCCAGTCCTTCTTGATGAATCCGAAGGTAGGCAGATCTTGATGCCTGCCTTTTTGGCAGCGTGCAGCTCTGTCAGGCGAGCCCGAAGTGGAGCGGCTTTTGACTGCAAGGAAAATAAAAATAAATAACTCCAAGATG